CCTGGCCATTGCATCTTGTGCAGCACACCCTTTCAACAATTGCCGGCTCGCGAAACTTCTGCGACAGAGTAATTTTGGAAGAGGAATGTTTCGGTACACCAGATCGTAAATATCTTTTCAACACCAGAATAGGGCTTTGTCAATATGACAGAGAGAGAGAAAGAGAGAGAAACAAAACCACAATAAACATCAAAACTTGCATTTCAGATCATTCACAAAGAGAACTGTACGGGTTTAGCGGAATATGAGCCGACATTAACACCTCTGGTGAATACGTGGCTGTATGGCACCGTATTTCGATTTTATTTCCGAAACATTGTTACAGTTTTTATACCATTTTTCTTGCTCGCCTATCTAAATATTCGTATTGTTTCGACGCTCCGTGGGCAGCAGCGAACAGCATCGCTTTTCAAGTTTCGATGCAGTGAACACAAAGCAAGCAAATTCATTATGAGTCAGGAACCAAGGATAGGTGATCTGGGAAAGAAGGTTTGCAGTAGGGGCGAGTGGCGGAAACAAAAGTGGTAATTGCCGAAATTTTTCTGAAAGGTGAAAACTGATCACCGATTAATTCCAATAAAGGAGAGCTAAATCCAAAAGTTTCCCCTCAGAAAAAAATAAATGAATCTGTTTTGGAAAAGTTAAAAGTAGGAGAGAGAGGCAAATATTAAAATAAACAAAAAGTACACTATTAGCTTTTCCCAGACCCGAGTCCTTGAAGAATTCTTAAAAAATCGTTCTTCCCATGGAGAAAAGTTTCCGGACCTACACTAGTCCAGAGCGGGGATCTTATATATCCCATAATCGTTCCGTAAGGTTTTGACGGAGATCTAACGGTATGATGATGGTATATGTTGATGCTAATAGAATTGGTACCTCAGACGTTTAAAAGCAACCGCTTTCATGCAGTTAAGGAGGAAGTTTTTGATGCAGGCCGGTTTACCTCCACTTAATCAAGCATTAATAAATTATGGGGAAATTTTACCGTCAGGAGAACTCTTTTGTCACTAAGCTTACTCATTAAGCTTCTAAAGAATTTTTCGCGTTTATCTAGAATTCTTTCGGCTTAGATTTGAGATTGCAGCGTAAGATTCGGTCAGCGACTCGACTAACAGTGCTCATTGTATGCTCATATCTCATGGCCAATGTTCTCAATGTAATGATTACCGCTTGGGAATACATTGATTTCGAATCTGCTCAAACAGAAGAAGCATTCTGGGTTAGTGCTTTTGTGATCAGGGCTGTCCTTTTTTGGAAAGATATCCAGCATTGCAGAACGCAGCATTCGAGACTTTTTTTTTGGTTTGAAAGCTTTTAATTTTTCCGGAGAATATGTAGTCAATATTCACTTAATATTGACTGTTTGAAGTCAGTATTTATCTCCTTATCATTTCATCATTCTGTTGTCTCTTTTTCCAGCCATGTACAAAAATTAAGCTTACTTTCTGTAGCGAATAGAAGGCTTTACAGATGATTCCTGTGCTACCACTCCATTGTTTGTGCATAATACTCAGGCTGTTTACTTGCATTTTTATCTAGCACATTCTAAAAGTTCCAGTCTCATTGATTTTGCGTCACTTTAAATCGAGCTTACAGAAATCGGGGGCTTTTCAGATCTACGAGACTTGCGCAGACGTAGTATCAGTGCTGTATGTTTTCACATGTGCTACACGCTTACTTGTTTATATGCTATGCAATAAAGAAATACGCAGTATTATTATCTCAACTCTGAGACCAGGTCGAAGGACGTCGCTGGCTTACGATTATCACTCTATGTCGTCACCTTTCCAGTATCTTTGAAATTCCGCTTTTTCTTAAGAAAAAAAAAGGAAAACATGAATGTCT